CCCGATAGCAGATAAGCCGGCCGAACGGACAATTTATATTGTTAGTCTAAATTATTACATTTAAAATTATAACTCTAATTAACCGGACCACTCGTGAATTTTGTTCATATCTGAAAAAAATCTTAGAATACGAAAACATTGGTGAATGCCACAAATTCTCCTAAATCACTCGTACGCACAATTTAAGAACAAATCTGTGCGTACGAACGGTTCTTGCATGAGGCCCATTGAGAGTATTTGCACTGGCTCCTGCACAGTGGCGCAGTGCAGTGGTGAGCGGAGAGCAATCTGATAGAATTAGATTCAATCCTATTTTTACCGGACGCCACAGCTGCTCCCAGTTCAATGGCTGTGTCTCAATTCAGGGGCTGGGTCCTCATGAGTGCGCATTTGTCGGCCGCATACGTCACTGCCCCGCCCAAAGGACTGTCCCAATTCAAAGACTCCTCTGGCCGACAAACCCATGAAATCCGAGGATGCATTTGTGAATGCTAACCGGCCAAGGATATCCCAGGATTCAATACAGGGCAGCAAAATAAACAGAGAAATTAAGACGGTGGAGTTTTTAGTTTTTTAATGAGTCAACATAATTTGGAAATTCACCAGAAGGATTTGTTTTTAAAATTAAGTTTAGCAGCTTTGCTGATGAAATCTATGCTGCAATAAGATATTAAATAAAAAAATGCAACTTTAACTTACGAGAATAAAGTCATAATATCACAAAGTTAACGTTGAATAAAAATAATCAGAATTTACGAGATTAGTCATATTACCAGAAAAAAGTCATAAAATTCTAGCCTTTACATGAAAAAGCATGCAGTTACTGCATTAAAATGAGGAATGTTGAGCAACTTGTCAAGTTGTTCTTTATTATTGCTATAAATAAATAGTTAATCTTTTATCAAATCAGCATCAAATTATCAGTAGCAGGACTTGTAATTTGTGCAAACGACTATATGATAAACGGAAGCTGTGTTGTAATTAATGGATGCATTGACAGATTTAGTCACGTAGTTAATTTGGATGAAAGCATATTAATCTAACAGTGACCCAAGTCATCACGGACTACTTTATGAACACAGAGACGTGTGGCTGTCCACAGAAAGTGAGAGGAAAATAAGGAGGAAATAAAGAACAGAAAATGGACACATCATGTAGGATTATGACCTTTTTTTCTCATAATATTATGAATTTATTGTTGTAATAATAATAATAAATATATTTTTGTCTGGCCSTAATACTCCATCGTAGATACTGGAGCTAAACCCAAATTATAAATTTTTATTTATTTACGTTAAACTTCGTAACTGAATTTATTCTTACAGTAAAAAGATGTGTAAAAACACGTCCAGACACATTTTAAGTCAGACATGAATCTGATCACTATGGTAACGGGGGAGGGCGTGGTCATGCAAACTCACGTGAAGCCGACGTCAGGTGAAGACTAGACCGTCTCATTTCACAGCAGTTTGGAGCAGCCCACCTGGCCCATGTGGTCCAGCTAGGCTGGGTCATGAACTGAGACACAGCTTGAGCTTCCGTATCACAGCACCCCCATGTGTTGAAATGGATGGGACAGAAGCAGAAGGTGGTTCTTAAAGAGACAGAGGTCAATTTCAAGGCATTTAGAAGAGGAAGTGATGAGAAGATAAGTTTCTTTTCTATTTAACCATAAAAACAGCATTTTAAAAACAGCTAAAGGTGACATGGATACTTTATTATGGTATAGTATTTAAATATAGGCCTGAGAAACACATAAAATTGGCCCTGTCACAAAATTATAACTTGAATTCTGAGATTAAGTTTTAATTCTTGTTTCAAATCAATTTAACATACATTAAAGTGCATGTTTTATAACTAATTCAAATAAACTTTAACTTTATTCTAGCAATAATACAAACACAAATGCTGGCTCCCTGTCAAATTCAGAATAGAATTTAAAATATTCCTCCTAACATACAAAGC